GAGCCTGCTTCCTCCTCTCTCTCTGCCTGCCTCTCTGCCTACTTGTGGTCTTTGTCAAATAAATAAATAAAATCTCAAAAAAAAAAAAAACAACCCCAAATGAATTCGGTATCGTTAATTATATATCACCTTAGAAAACTTTCAACCCTTTTACTCTCATATGGAAAGAAGGGAGTGTATGCAAAGTCTTGCACTATTTCTCTAAGTTATAAAAGGAATAACATTTCTGAATGCTGATTTTGTTGGATATCTATTTGCCTGGCACTGTGTGAAGAGTATTACATGCATTATCGTACTGAACCCTTCAAAAGAAAAAAGAACCTCAGTCTTAACCTTGCTATTGTTCCTATTTTACAGAAGAGGAAAGCTTTGCAGAAATTAATTGATTTGCCTAAGATCATAAAACTTGTAAATAATAGCAGCAAGATAGCTAGTAAGGAGTACTCATATATTTTCTCCCACTAAAAAAAGGTGAGGATCTGTTCCTGTAAAAAGTTGTTACACGTCCTTGAGAATTGGAACCAGGTGGGTCTGCAAATCTGGCCAGCAGAACAGAGTTCTCAACCTCTTCTTGGACACAAAGTGTTTACATGGTTTCTGTGCTCAGCCAATCACTTAACTATCCCCAAGCTATCTTCTGCCTCAGGGAAAGAAGATGAACAAAATTTCAAGACTAAAATAAAAGTCTAATATAATTTTGATGAGAAACTCAAACCTTATCTTCAGCGCTCATGGCTTTGGAGTAATAATCTCATGGAAAGAAAGAAAAAGTTTTGAAATAACTTGGAAGACAGGATCGTTTTTATACTTTAAAGACAATGAACTACATGTAAGTTTGGCTAGACAGTTTTGGAGCCATGACAAGCAGGCTAAGATTCAAAAAAAAAAAAACAAAACCCAGCAATCTGGTGGTCTCATAATTTCCCATTATCAAAACTACTCTTCCATAAATCTGAATGCAATCCAAGAAACATGTCAATAGCGGGCTGTTTCAGATTAGGTTTATAATATAGTAAGAGAACTGTGTAAAGGGCCAGTAAGCTTGAAAAAATATGCTAAACGTGTTGAGGTGGTCAGACGAAGTTAACAGTATTTAATGCTAAAAGCATGGAATATTCTTGTGCCTGAGATCCAGCATCCTAGATACAGTACATGAGCAGGCACTGCACTCTACCTCCCCCCTGCTGGCAGACCCTTGTCACTAAAAAACGATGAGCTGCTTTGAGACTATATGAGACTATATCACACATCCTCAGCAAGTATCCACCGGGCTGGAACGCAGTTAGGATCCAACCATGGGAGAAATTGGAAAGAGTAAGGGAATCACAAAATTTTCATTATTCCACAGCCCATCTCATTTCCCAAAGTACTGTCTAGGTGCTGACTTCCTTAAAGAGCCCTGCAAAATCCCGATTCTCCAAAAAAAAAAATACACCCATTTGGAACTGAGACAAGGTGAGGTCAACGACTGGTATTATCAACCACAGGCGACTCGGATTCGTTTCTAGCCTCGTGGGGGCCCAGCCTCACCACGAGGGTGAAGACAGGAGGCAATGGGGGAAGGGAATGAAGGAGAGAGAAAGGGGAGAGACCTCCGGGCCACACTTCTTTCTAGTATCAACAAAAAGAGAAGCCGCATACTGACCTAAATCATCTCTCAAAGGCGCTTTATAAATTACAGGGACAAAGGGAGGGGGTGGCGGGTGGCCTGGGAATCCTACAGACACCCTCCCCTCTGACCCGCCCCCCTCCCCCTCCAGCACAAGGGAAGCAAGACAGAAAACAGAGCTCAACTCGGCCATTGGCGAGAAGCCCCCCCTCCGCTTTTCGATCGCCCATCCATCGGCCCCCTGGGAAAAAAATACACGTAAACACCATACCCACCCCCTGGGGCGGACACTCCCGGCCCGAGGCTCCTAGAACCGGAGGCCGGGGCATTTACTTAGTTAGATTTTTCTTGCTTACTCATTTCCCTCAAGCACCCAACCCCCCGTTCCCACTCCAAAACCCCGCTCAACCGCCTACCCCCACGGCTTCAGCCCCCAACAGAAGCCGGTGCCCCCGCGGCAGCGGCAGCCCCCGAGCCGTCCCGGTCACTAACCTGCTGCTGTAAGGGCATTTCCGAAACCAGCCTGGCTCCGGGGGAGGTGGGGGGGGCCGGCTGGAGAGGGGGCCCGGAGGGCCGAACAGACCGGCGGCGCCGGGCGAGGGCGGGCGCCCGTGGCGGGGGGGGTTAGGGAGAGCAGAGGGAGGGTGGCCGTGCCGGGGGCGGGTGCGAGGGCGCCGGGACCGTCCCAGGCCAGGGAGCCGGCGAGCAGGAGGAAGTGGGTGCCCCCCTCTCCCCCTCCAGCGCCCCCTCCCGCCGCCGCCTCCTCCCCAGTCACAGGCGCGTCCTCCGCGCACGTGTGCGAAACGTCACCGGCGGGTCCCGGGGAGAGGGACAGACCCAGGCGGCGGGACGGGAACACGGCTGCCCCCGCCCTCCGTCGCCGGGGGGCGGGGAGGGGGACAGGGCGGGGAAGGAAGGGGCAAGGGGAGAGGCGGGTCAAGGGCAGGCCCGGGGCCCGGCGAGGAAGGCCCGGGCGCTCGGGCCACGCGGGCGCCGCCGCGGCCGCCGCCAGGATGCGCCCAGGCCGGGGCGCCTGGCCGCGAGTCCTTCACCCCCGGACAGCCCACGCCCCAGCTCGCACCCGGCTTCCAGCCCCACCTCCCCCGCCACCCCTCTCCGCCTCCCCCGGCCCCTTTGTTGCCGGGAGTTACAGATCCCAAAATGTGTCAAGCGCCGCATGGCAGAGCCCCTGCGCCCCGAGACGCCTTAGGGACCCCCGGCAGCCAACGGGCCTCCGAGGCCGGCGGGGGGCCATCACCCCAACAGTCTCCGGGTTTCCAGCCCCAGAGTCCCCCACTCCCCAGTTCACGACTCCCTCCCCCACCCCCTTCTCCATCCGGGGCGTGACCCCTTCCTACGCCCGTGAAAGAGGAAGCTTCGAGTTGGAGGGGAGGGGAGGGTGGGGGTAGGGAAAAGTGCAGGAAAAGAAGGGGGGGCCGCAAAAAGTTTCGGAGTGTTTGACGTGGTCCGCGCCAAGGCACTCCCCGCTGCCCCGCGCGCCTGGCGGAGCCCCCCGACCCTCCGCGCGCAGGGGGGGAGTGTACAAGTCTAACAATAAAACCCAGTCGGAGGGGCAGCCGCCGAGGGCCACGACGCTCGGCCCCGCGCTGTCCCGGGACGGCCCGCAGCGCGCCCACCACCCCGCGCCTTGCGAGCCCACCTCCCGCCCGGGCTGGGGACGGTGGGAACGGGAGGGCATTACCGGAGGGCCGCCGCCGCCGCCGCTGCCGCCGCGTCCCAGCGCTGGTGGCTGCTGCAGCAGCCCGGCTCTGCTGGAGGGTCCGTGCGGCGTGGTGTAGAGGCTGCCGGCGGTCTGCTCCGCGCCGGGGGCACTGGGGAGGAGGGGGCCGGCGGCGACGGCGCCGCTTTGGAGGGAGGAGGTACAGGAGGTGGTGGAAGTGTTCGTGGTGAGGATCTGGATGTACGCGCCCGGGGCGGCAGCGGCGGCGGCGGCGGGGAAGCCGGGGCTGGCTAGCAGTGCCCTTTTGTCCATGGAGGCTGCAGCGGCGGCGGCGACGACAGCCGCCCCCTCCCCACCCCCGGCGGTCACCAGGTACTGCTCCAGGGCGGGCTGGATCCCCTTTCTCATCTCTCGCTCCTGCTCTTTTTATTGCTATGGTATATTAATGTATTGTTTTCAATTTCTTTATTATTTGCAGTCGGAGTTTCCAAGTCTCTCCTCCTTCTCTCCTCCCCGCCCGGCGCTTCCGAGCCCCTTCTCTCTCTTTTCTTTTTATTTTTCCGCACCGCACGGGCCCCGGGGGCCAAAAATAATCGGGGCTCTGGAGAGAGGAGGGTCCCGGCCGCACGGATATCGGGCCCCGAGGGGGGATGGAGGCGTCGGGGGCGGCCGATGCAACGGATTGCGAGGCGGCGGCGGCAGCCCGGGTGCTGCGGCCGGCAGCTGAAAAATGGCTCCAGGAAGCTGCTGCTGACAATGAATGAAGGGATACGGTTTACGCGCCAAGGTCCTCCCGCGAAACTCAGATTTCCCGCCGGCTTTTCAAACCATATTTGCATATCCCCGCCCTCCAACGCGCCGAGGCCTGTTCCCACAGCCCATTGGGCCGCTGCCTCCTTACTTAACTCCCAATCGCGGCGCAGGGCCGCGACTTGCCGGTTTCCGTTGGCCACCGTGCATCATGGTTACCGGGGCTACAGAGGCTCTATTTGCATAGGTCTCCTTGATTGGTCGGGGGAGAGCAGGGTTTTTAGGAGGTGGGGCCAAGCCTTGCCTTCTCTCCCACGGAAAGCCACGCCTTGTCCAAGCTCCGCCCGGTCCCCGCCCGCGCGTCGGGCGGGGGCTGCTGACCTGGGCAGGCGCTCAGCGCCCCGCAGACTCAGTGAGGATCTGGTCTAGAGCGCAAGTTTCGCTTTTAGAAATCGTCAAGGTGACCAAGCGGACACTCGCCCGAATTCTTCTTCCTCTGGCCGGTCAGTGTAGTAGGTGTGCACGAGCTGGAGGTTCTCCCAAATACGTCCCAAAGGCAAGTTGGACCACGCGGACGATGCCCGGCAGGTGGGCACGGAGCCCTTTAAATCGTGGGTTTCTCTTTTCCTGAATTCCAACCAATGCCGCGGCGAGAGCTGATCCCGAGGCCCAGGCTGATCGACAGAAGCATGTGGGCAGACGGGATCGTGGGGGCAGAATGTTCGGCTGACGCTATTGCGGGCACCACTTGAGTTAGCATTCCAGATCCTTCCTGGTGGCTTCATTAGGAGCCTGGATGGGGTCGAAGTGACAATTAACTCTGCAAGGTTTGGAGCGAAAGCTTACCACGAGTGTTGGTTTGAGTCCCGCGGACGCCCCTCCTCCCCGACCCCTCCCGGCCCAGGAGCACCCAGGGCATTTAATCAGGGCTAACCTAGGGCTGATCTGCGGGTTTCCAATCCGTCAGGCAGGAACCCGAAGAAGTGCACGCTTCCCACGATGACGTCTTGCTCCCAGCCAACGCTGCGCGCCCAGACACCGGCGCTTGACAATCTCGGTTTCCTACCAAGTTCTCCGTCAGAAAGCAAACGCGACGATCGAGACTCATTCCAAAACATTTTTAAAGACTTTTTTTTTTTTTTTAAGCATACCATAAGCGGTGACCAGAAGTCTATATGGCCGACTTCTGTATGGAAGTCCTTCTGTATGGAAGGGGAATCGAAGATTGCCCCTGTGAGACTGGACAGGAAAAGGGACCCCTGCAGGAATGTGGGGAAAGGTGTACGTGTCAGTCGTCATTTACCATTCCAGCCGCTGAGAATTGTACAAAACAGCCGTTAAGCTGGTGTTCACGGCGTGATGAGGGTTGCGATTCTTCGTGTCCGGATCCAAAACTTTATTATTGTTATGATTCTTATTATTAATAGTAATTTCCAAAAACGCATATACTCAGTATTATGAAAGGCCTGGACAGATAGATCAGTGGAGGCTCGGACTCCTTAATACTTCAGTCCTGTTACCTGGTCAAACCTGGCCTCTGGCTCAGGAAGGTTTTGCGCTTGCATGCCAGCTAGTTGAGGACACGTGGCCTAGTCCCCAAACATTTACTGACACCTATCATAAAACTGACGCTCTCTTTAGGGCAGATTAGATGGTACTCAGAGGGCATCAATTCTTTTGGACTAGAGGTGTAATGTATTAGCAGTTTCCCTGATTCTGTTCCATGGATGCTACTTTCCACAGTGGGTCACTACGGAGAACCCTAGTACTGTAACTACGTAGATATTACCCGCTGTGGGACATGGCTGGCGGCATGCTTGTGGTGGTGGCAGTGAGGGTTGTGGGGGAGTCGTGACGGACCTGCATTTTTATGATTAGAGACAAGTCCAGGGTTTGGAACTGTATGCAAAATCCCAGCTAGAGCACCCAGCGAGTTATTACGATGACATTCACAGAGGACTGTGTTCACAATCCAGATCCACACTGGTGATTCTGGTTTAGAAAGCTTTGATATCTTTCTCCTTTAGCCAAGTTATATTTTTAATGTAGGGTATTTGGTAGAAAGCAAACGTTTTGTCCTTTTAGGTCTCACGGCAGAAAATAAGATGCTAAAATTTGAGGTAGGCTGTTGATTTGTGGACAGGGAGCATGTTTTGGTAGAAAGATAACGAGCTTTGGAGCCACTTACTAGTTATATAACTTTAATCTCTAAAAGCCTGTTTTCTCGTATGTTCTCTGAGAACTCCTATTGCAGTGCCCATGTTACAAGGTCATGATGAAAGAGGCAGTAATAAATGTAAAGCACCGGGCGTATAGCATAGCAGGCATTCGATAAGTGGGAGCTATTTATGATTCTGTTTGTTTGTGTGACTGTGCTTTGTAGCTCTGTGGAGTCCAATCTGACTCCCAGCCTCAAATCTTCCCTTTTGCCCTTGGATGTCCACTGGCCACGCAGCTTAGCTTTGTCCCAGAGTAGGAGCACAGGCATGTTCTGGTTAGTAGGGATTCTGGAATCCTGACCCAGAAGTTCAGGTAATTAAAAAAAGTCATCTCTGCTGCTTGTCCCACTCCCATCTCAGTGGCTCTTGGCTAGCTCCTAAGTCTGAGCCTTCCTCTCCTTCTCTGGAAGGCCAGACCGATCTAGACTAGAGTCAAACTGCTCTTGCCAATCAGCACCCCCTTTCTCTTGCTTCAACAGTGGCCCAGGCAGCTAGCTGTTACAAAACGGGCCTGCATAGTTGGTTTGAATGGTGGCCTCTCAAAAAATCATGTCTTTATCCTTACCCCTAGAACCCATAGTGTGAACATATTTGGAAAAAGGATCTTTGCAGATGTAATTAAGTCAAGAATCTCAAGATCCTTTTGAACTACCTGGGTGAGCCCAAAGTCCCACGACAAATAAATCCAATGACAAATATCCTTGTAAGAGACACCCAGAGGAAAGACACAGAGGAGGAGAGACTTTGAGAAGGTGGAGGCAGAGACTGGAATGAGCAGCTCCAAGAAATGCCAGCAGCCACCAGAAGCCATAAGAAGCAAGGGATAAAATCTTCCACAGAGCCTGTGGCGGAAGCAGAGCCCTGCCGACACCCAGATTTAGGACTTCTGCCCTCTGGACCGGTGAGAGAATAAATTTCTGTTGTTTTGAGCTACGCAGTTTGTGATAATTTACTATGGCAGCCCTGGGGGACTAATTCAGCCTGTTAGCCTGCCTACCCGAATCTCAAACCTCTTCACGGCTACTCACGTGGTTTTGTGCTGATGCCAAGAGACCATTCCTTGCTGGATACCAATGACACTAATTGTCAGCCAGGGCTCTAGC